TTAAAATAATAATTTAATATAAATTATCATTTAATATTGTAAAAAATTAATTTTGATAATATATAAATTAAAATTGAAATTTTTCATTTACCGCATTTTCTGAATTTAATATCATAAAAACGGCTTTTATGTTTTTTTTTTTTTATAAATTAAACTTTTTTTTTCATTTAAAATATTAACATGAAATTTTATTTTTCTTTTTCTTTTTCATTTTTTTTTCTTTATTATAGCTAAAATAATTATCTTTCTTAATGGATTTTATATATTTTCAAAATATTATTTTATTTTTAATAATAAATAAGTAAATAAATATTATAAAAATATTATAAAAATATTATTTACATGAACTTAAAATGGCTTATATCCATAATAATTTTTATTAAATATATATTTAACTTTATGTAAATTAGAATTATTTCTATGAAAATTATCAAAAACATTAATATATTGAATGATTAACATGTAATTGAATTTTATTATTATATTATATTATATAGCAACACTTATAAAATTAGTTCAAAAACTAATTTATTTTTAAATATATTGAAATTTTAAAATCAAAAATAAAATATAAATATATAAACAAAATTGAAAAAAATAATTACTATAAAAAAAATAACATTCTTATTGATTATAAAGCAATTTTTATAAATCATTCATTCTAAAAAATAAATATATCATATTTTCAGGTTTGGTTGTGTATTATCAATATTTTTTTATTTTTTCATTTATTGTTAATTAATATTAATTAATTAATTAATTAATTTTTATTTATTATGTCTTTGATATTAAACATAAATAAAAAAGCATTTATAATAAATTACTTTTGAAAGATAATAAAGATAATCTATGATAACAAAAACCAATTTACGTATTCCAAATATATTTTAGTGACGTCACGTTTTTCATAAATTATCTATCTTTTTTTTTTTTTTTTTTTTTTTATTTTCTTGATTTTTCTTTTTTTTAATTTACTGTTATTTTGAATTAAACTGATAACTAATATTTTTTTATTTATAAAAAAAAAAAAAAAAAAAAAAAAAAAACAATAAACAATAATATAAAATAATTAAATTAAAATAATAAATATTTCTAATTAATTTAAATTAAAATTAATTATAATAAATTATGAATCATAAGAAACAATAGTATTATTTATTTTTAATCTAGCTTAGCTTATAATAATAATAATATTTTTCTTTTTTCCAATAATAAAATAATATTATTAAATAAAAAATAAATAAAATAGATATATTTACATTTAATTAAATATATTTCCTAATTATTTTTTTTTTTTAAAAAAAATTAAAATTATATTTAATAACAGTGTACATATATAATTAGTTAATTATTTTTTATTTTATTTATTATTATTTTTTTTTTTTTAAAAAAATTAAAATATTTAATATTTACATATTTTAATAATCCGATTTAAAAAAGAAAAAGAGGATTTTTTATTTTTAATAAATAAATTTAATATATTTTTTATACTCTGTGAATTTTATTTATTGATCAAAGTGATTATCTCTCAATATATTAAAAAAAAAATTTTTTTTTCTTTTTCATATTATAGAAATTAAAAAAAAAAAAAGTAAAAAAAAAAAAAATTATTAATATAGGATAGTATTCTATATAATTAATTCGATTTTCATTATTTAATTAAATATATATATATATATATATATATATTTTTTTTTTTTTTTTTTTTTTTTTTTTTTTTTTTTTTTTTTACTTTTTTATTAAATCAAATTAATAATTATAAATATTACACATTAATATTAATTTAGTATTTTTAGTATTTTTAATAAAGTCAATTATTTACATATTATTAAATATATAATATTAAAATTACAATAAAAAGTATAAGCCTCCTCCATTTTTTTTTTTAAAAAATAATATTAAATAAAATAATAAAGATGCATTTATATATATATTAATAATAAAGTTTACTATATATTATTATTATTTTGATTATGAATTATTGGAATTATTGTTAAATTAATTATGCTGATATTTATTTATCCATTATAAATTTATTATATTTAAATTCAGTAAAAGGTTTATATCAAATGGAATAATTATTATTAATTATCGTAAATATTATCATTATTATATATTCTTTGTTATAAAGATTTTTTATAAATTATCCATTAATGAATTTAAATCGTTTTGAATCACTTTTGGTACAACTCCAATGATATAAAATGAAAATAGAAACTATTATTAATAATAATATTTTGTTAATAAATTCATAAAAATAAATTAATAATTATTTTGATTAACTATCACTGATTTATAATATGATATAAAATAGATTCATATAATATCATAAATTCTATACCAACACATAAAATTAATATAAACATAAAATTTGTAATGTAACTTTTCATGTTATGTTATGTTATGTTGTAAATATGTAAATAATTTATAAATATATCAACTTTTATTTTATTTTAATTGTTTTATTTTACTATATTTTTATTTTTTTATTTTAAATCTT